TTAATCCTGTTTTCTTACCGGTGTCCCCATATTGTTTTCAAAGGTTTGAGGTAAAGGGGTCCTATATCTCTAATGTCTTTTACCTGCTTCTTAAGAAAGAAACTGGTATTTGAAAGCTTCATAGCAACTCAAAACACAACATTTCTTCCAGAAATGTCTATGATCCTGAAAGAAGTATTGAAAACCATGCTAGACCTCTACCATGTATAGCCCTTACCTTGTCTCTTTGCCAAACAATATTAAATCACAAAGATTAAGAACCACTCACAATGACTATGGAAAAACAGGAGTTTTGATTATATGTTTTCAATTTTTCTAAAACTAAAGTTAAAGGCTCACCTGTTCCTGGTTTCTTTTTATTAAGATTGCAAGCATACTTCATCTTTTCAAATTTGGATTCTCACGACAGCAAGGCAAGCAGTTCACCAAATGAATCATCTTCCCAACCCCACAAAATTTTACTTCTGACATAGTTGGTATAGAAGCTATATTTTAAAATAGTATTAGATTTTGACTTTTCAATAAAGATGACATTTTCTTAGGTCTAATACCAAAGTCACATCCCAGCTGTCATCACAAAGGAATCTGATCAGTGGTTTTATTTATCTTCTCTGTTATTCTTGGGCAACCTGCAAGCTTCTGATGTATGAGATTAGCTTAGAGGAGATATTACTATATTACCAGTGATGGATTACTTTATCATTACTAAATGTACAAAAAGCTAAGCTAAAGTAGCCACTGGCTCCCATGATTAGAACAGAAATTACTGTATCAAATTTCTCTACAACAAAGTTCTTTTTGTCCAAATATTTACCACGGTGACATGAGTATTCACTGTATTAAATGATCCCAATAGATTGTCCTTGGTTAGGAAATGTCAAATGCAAAGCCACGGCTAAATCAGATTACCTACGAATAACACAGAGTCACATTGGGGACAAGCAGGCGGTCTCTTAGGATATGAAATCTGGGACTTCTGAGTGCTTGTGGGGAGACTGAGTAATGCTCTCATATGCAATTTTGATAGGGAATTTTATTAAAATCCTTCATTTTGCTTCTACCCCCTACTGTGTCAACTAACTACTAAATCTACTCAGGAATTTAATTTTCATTCTCAAAGTCTCAAAAGAGCTAGAGTTCTTAAAACAACTTAAAAAATACAAGAGCTGCTCTTCTGTTCTTTATTTTTCCTCAGGAATGAGTAGATCAGAAGAAAATAATATGTTCTTAATTTGAAAATCATAATGTAATGTTCAAGACTCTATGCTCTAGGATTCTAAGAAACCTTTCCTCTGGTGGTCCAATTTACTCCAATAAGCTAAAGCTGAAGTAGGAGCTATTATTCAAGTATATCATATTCTTTCTACCTCCTGCCTTTTACTGCACATCCCTTCTTTCTAGGCCACTCAACATCTTCCACATCTAGATATACACATATAAATTCAAACAGATTCATAAAAGAGAAATTCAACATCTATCCCCCAACTCTGGCTTATTTCACAAAACATGATTATCTCTCACTCCATCCATTTTCTTTCAAATGACCTGATTTTGTTCTTTATGGTTGAGTAAATCATCACCACATTTTACTCATCAATTGATCTGTTAACAAGCATCTAAACTAATTCCATCCATGATATCTATGCATTAAAAATATATATTGAAATCCATCATCGTATGCAATGAATATATCCTAGTAATATAACAAAATCAACTTGCCAAATACTAGAAAGAATATTAATAATTTGCATACTACATCCCACAAACTTTTACAAGTACTCTATGTATATTAACTCATTTAATATTCACAATACTTCGAGGTAGGTACCATCACTATCCTTTGGCTACAAATAAAGATCATACATATAATTAATAATATAAGCAAATTTGAACCAAGAGAATATGGCTGACTCAATACTTAACCACACTACATACAGCCTCTATGTATCAGATACAGGGCTATGTAATAGCCCTGCTATTACAAAACAGAGTCAATTTGTAAGACAGCCCTATATTTCTTTAATTGGAGGCTTTAATACAAGATACCAAGCACTTTGGAGGCACTACTGGGCAAAATGCCCAGTTTGGGCCTGGATAATAGGGGATTTGCATCTGTTCTACCCACCTCTCTGCTATTTTCAGCAGGCCATGTTGATACAAAACAGAAGAGAGTAATGCTGACTGTCCATCAGCCAGAAGCTAACACCTGCTTCCATTACAGCTCCTCCGACTCCCTTCCTCAGAGCCTGGGGTGACCACTCTCTAGCACTTTTCATCAGATCTTGGCTTTTTCAGCCAGGTGAGGCAATGGACAATTATGATCCCAGCTGCTGGATCTAAGACTAACAAGTTTCCAACTACTCTGGCTATACAGGAAATCTGGGCAAGCATGCACTATTCAGGGAGCCTGGCTCCAAATTTCAAAGTTCTTAGAAATTTCAATTTGATGTGTACAATCAGATACTTTTTGTTCCAAGTACAGCTCAGACTATCTAGTTACAGTTAGACTCTCCCGTACTTTCTACTCTTCATTTAAAATATTTAACCCTAAGAGTAAAACCTCTCGTCCACAATACACATGCCTACTAAATTATTCACACTCTCCTGGTACTGCAGTCACATCCCTATTTTAAAGATGAGTCTCAGGGTGTCTGCCTCAGCTGCCTGCCAGGGACTAGGCTGAACTCACTCCTAAAATAAGTTCATGTTGACTTGTAAATCTACAACCATTTTGGGGGTGGACAGGGTCTTTCTATATAATTCAATCTGGCCTTGAATTCTCAATCTTCTAGTTTATAATAAAAGTGTACTCTGCACAATTATTAATCTAACTCCAAATCTACCTTTGATTTCTTCAACATTATGCTAAAATTAATTGCAACAAACAAGTGTTAAGAGTCGATCCAAAATATCTGAATTAACGTGTATGCATTTTCTCATTTGTGCCTTGAAAACAATAAATGCCTTTCTTTTCTGTATTTCACAGGATACTAAATACAATATCCTACAAACGAGCAGCTTTCTCATAATATTCCCTCTATTAAAGAATTATTCACATAATTATTTATGAATAGCTTATCTTTAGAAATATTTATGCTGTATAATGACATTGCAATAAGGCAGACACAGGTAACCTTTGTAAAAAATAGAGCTCTTGTTCCTAGGAAGATTCACAAGGAATTCCACTGTTCAGAGTCCGAAACCATCTTGCTGAAGAGGAAGAATGGAGGGCATTCCATTTAAATGTCTGCTGCATTCCAATTAAATGTCTGCATTTTACTTTATAGTGCAAAGAGTTTTGACACATTAACAGATATTTTCTTGACTTGTAACAGGGATGGCAATTCTGAGGCAAATTTTTCATATAATAAAATTTACGATATTTAAGTGTCAATAAAAGAACATAACCAAATACTTTATGGTTTGGTTCTTCTGAAAGGTCGTAAATACAGCAAAAAAAGCAAAATTCTGTGGAAACCAAGGCCTAGAGGAATCCTGAAGACATGCCAAGAAACAAAGTGTGCTCCTAGTGACTAATACATGCAAATACTGGAAATAAATTCTAACAGATTAAACAGGTTTTGTAGCAACTAAAAGGTATATCCAAATCATTCTAAAATTAATCAAGCTTAAGAATATGGCATTCTTCCCAACTAATAAGGATGTAAGCTGCTAAGTAGCCAGAATAACATATAAATTATATCCAATATCAGTAGGAAGAATTCTTTCAAACTGTTTTTAATTAAAAAGGAAAAACAGCCCCTACCTGAATTTATTCAGTTTCAAAGTTTTTCCAATGTATTCATTTTTAATACTACATTGTCAACCTGATGAGGTTAAGTAAATAATAGTCATGCTACAGAATTTCAAAGTCAACACTGTCCTCTTGAGAAACAGTTTAGCGTTCATATTCTTTTGATAACAAATTTAACGTATTTGATAGTTCTCTAAAACTGACTAAGCAATGTGTAACATTAAAAATCAATAAAATACAGTTTTTAAAATCTGAATATTAGGCACATAATTCTGTTGAGATTACAATTCTGAGGAAAGCTTAAACTTAATGAATTTTAACTTGAGAGGATATATATATATATAGTTATAGTTATAGATCTAGATGAACAAATCGCAGAGTAGGAGCTGGGAAGAAGAGAGGGGGAGAAGAGTAAGAGAGAGGTTCAATACAAAGCAAATATATAAATCCAAATTTCTAGGGATTTTCTGCAATTTATAGCTAACAAGTTTAATGGAGTAAATTGAAAATGAAAGTAAGCAACTGCTGAATCTCTCTGGGTCAAAGAATCTTGAAGGCACTTAAAAGCCACAAGCCTCCTTTATGTAAAACAAATTTACAGTCAGCTTTCAAACGTGGTTAATGCCTTAGCAGAAATACAAATTAAAAGCTCCAAGAGCCAGATAAGAAAAATGATTAAAATGCTTTAAAATATGCCAGAGAATAAAATACAAATTACAAGAATTAGCTTATAGCCTGGATAAATGAATTTCTGCTCACCAAACTCTCATTGCTTTGTGCCTCAATACAGTGATAATAGCACTGAATACTGTGATTAAAGCCCAGAGTAACAACCATTTTCCAATGCATCAGTTTTTATAGACAGATGGTTATGATATATTATTATCAGGTTAATTCATTTATGTTATTTTTATCATTTCAAGTAAGATACATAGCCTGAATGTAATCAGGACTAATCTAGAAAGAAAATTCTAAAGAGCCATAAACCTTGTTTCTAATCAAACAGAGTATATCCTCTGTTACTCCTCATCTCTATCGCAAAATCAGACTAAAGTAAAACAAACTCATACACACATGCAAACACTTCTTAATTCATATTTTACCCATTATTATAATCATTACCTATGCAAATATCCAAATGAAAAAATGAGTTAATAAGCAATTATGTTGATTAACATATTCAAAATTACTAAGATCTGGGCAACATTACATACTAATAGTATCATCACAATTCACAAGATCATACCTGATGACTTAGAGATTGTAAGTGCTCACAGCTTCCAGGCTGCATGACCTTTCTATTTCTAGAAACCCCTAAAAGACAGTATTTCCTGTCTTACAAAGAATAAGCTCGGCCATCTCTGCGTCTCTGCATCTCCAAGGCTAGTGAAGAAACCAAACAGCAGACAGAGCTGTCCATCAGAATCTATTTAAACCACCATCAAAATATCAGCTCTCATGCACTGCTCATCGTCTCCTCTGTGCAGTTCCCAACACTGCATGCTGAGAGATGCTGACACAGGAGTGTTGGCTGATGCTGTTAATGCTATCTGAAAGCACTCAGCTTACTGCTTGGAGCAGTTCTGCATCATCCCAGGTCAGACATAGCTCCAGGTTCCCACTTCTGCTGCTATGTGGATTCACAACCAGAGAGAGCCTCATTTCTTATCAGTACTTTAAAAACGAGGAATGCATTATTTAATTAAGTATCCAATGTGCCTGTTGCAAACACCGTATTAAAATATCATCTTAACTATGAGGCAGGTTTCTCCATATAGGACTAAGCTATAGTATAATGATGTAATTAGGTAAATTTGTACTCTCTTTTCAGGAAAACTTCCTTCCAAAGCACCAAATTTTGAAGGACCTAAAAATGAAAAATTGCTATTCATGAGATAGTGGATGGATAACTGTGAACAATATAAACGTGTGCATGTTATTTACGTTTAATGCCAGGAATCTTTATTATTTATTCTTCAGAACCACATAATCCAATTAAAAACATCCATTCTTCTCATAAAGAGTTAAAGATGTGAAAGTTACTACATGATCGATCACAAGTCCTAAGACTGGATGGGTTGTTCAGCAGAGAAGCCTATGTGAAAGGTTTTGCAGAAGCAGCACAAAATATCATGGTACCTACTCCTCAAGCACTAGGAAGGCACCTGTTCCCCATGCACACCAGCTTAGAAAACCTTACAACTGGCAAAAAAAAGTCTGGAAATAAAGAGTTCTTTGTCTTCACTATGTGATTAAATAGCATTTGTGGGTTAAAAAAAAAACATAGACTACACCAGAAATCAAATTAAGTATTTATATGCCTGTGAACTACTGAAATTCCATAATAACTAATGTGATACACAAGGCCTTCGATAATAGGAGACATAATTACTTGCTAAATTATCCTTATCCCACTCACATTTGATGGGATATAGTCCATAATATATACATATAATCATACAAACAATGAGTCTTAATAATTTTGTCATTTCAGAAGCAGAAGAGGAAAACTCTGCATGTGAGTGACATTTGTATGGCTTGATCTGTTTGTGGTGTCCCTAGCAGTGGGATCAGGATTTATCCCTAGAGCATGAGCTGGCTTTTTAGAGCCCATTGCCTATGTTGGGATACCTTGGCCAGCCTTGATGTAGGGGGAAGGGGCTTGGTCCTGCCTCAATTTGATGTGCCAGGCTTAGTTGACTCCTCATAGGAGGCCTTGTCCTTTCTGGGGGGTGGATGGAGGATGGGGATAGGGAAGGTGGGGTGGAGCAGGAGGAGAGGAAGGTGGGGGAACTGTAGTTGGTATATAAAATGAATAATATTTTTTAAAAATCTGTTTTCTAATGAGACATATAAGGTGTGGATCTGAATGGGAGAGGAAGGAGGAGGAACTAGGAGGGGTAGAGGGGTAGGTTTTTTTCTATTATTATTATGGATTGATTGAAGGTTCTTAACTCACTTTCCCACTCACCCCCCAAATAGGACAAAATTTGGCTTCTTAGTGGCCTAATGCACACCTTTCTTTTAGGAAGTCACTGCTTTCAGATGTACACATTTAGACATGGACTTGAAATTTTGACTGTCTGTTACACCTGAGGGAAAAAAACACAGGGACACGTGCGTTGTTCACTTGGGAAGTACTTATCCTCATAAGCCAATGGTATTCTCTGTTGAGGTTTATCTTCTCAATAAAGCCTTCTTACACCGCACCATCTCCCTTTTACGTTCATTCCTAACATGTAGAAAGAATTGCTGAGACCTTGAATACCACAAAGAATTGACTTCAGAGAAATGGAGATAGTTAAGTAAGACAAATGAAGATGCTACATAGGCTTCCTTTGTTTTGATAGCAGAAATAGAGAGAGATATGGAGCAATGGCGGGTCATTCTTCCTAATCTTGGGATCATAGGTCTCCCCAATGAGTACTATTAAAGGCTAGATGATTCTGAAAAGTTGCATTTGAGAAGTAACAAATACACCACGGTTTAGACTTTAAAGTGCAAAGTCAAGGACCCATCATGAGAAGCTTTGGGAGCCCGAGAAAAAGTCTGAATTTGGGGCTTAGTTAATGAAATCCACCAATATAACCAGTCTTGTAGTTTTAGATTATCCCAGCCTCACTACAGGCAAACAATTGAGTGAAATAAAACTGGAAGAAGACAGAAAAGTTAGTAGGATGCTAGTTACTTTATCATTACATGACAATGGCCTAAACAAAGAGGCAATAGACATGGAGATAAAAGGTTCTATCTAGATGCATGACTTAGTGAATAGAAATAGAATTGAAAAAGTGATATAAGAAATGAGGGGAAGGGCAATGTCAAGCATATTCCAAATCGCCTACGTTATTGTATATCTCCTTTTATAATCAATATACTTTCATCACATCCTTTGGGGTTTGTTACTTTTGTTTATATGTTTCATATATATTATTCATATATGAAACATATAATATATTAATTGGCACATCCAAGAGTATGTGGGCAATACAAATTGGACTTGATTTTTTAAAGAGTAGGTAAGGAAGAGGGTGAATCTTAGAGGAGGTGTTGGAAGAATGAAGGTAAATGTGATCAAAATACATTGTATAGAGACCAAGAGCCAAACATTAATTAGACAGAGCTTAGGGAAATCCACAAAAGAGGGGCAGTTAGGAATGTAAGAGCCAGGGGGTGGAGGACACCACAAGAACACAGCCCATCGAGTCCACTAAGCAGGGTTCATAGGGACTCAGAGAGACTGACGCAACACTCAAGGAGCCAGCATGGGTGTGCACTAGTCCCTCTACATACATGCTGTGATTGTTTAGCTTGGGGCTTTTGTTGGATTCATAACAGTGAAAATGGAGGTATCTCTGACCCTTTTGCCTACTTGTGGGACCTTATTCCTCCTATTGGATTGCCTTGTCCAGCCTTGATATGAGGGTTTGTTCCTAGTCTTACTGCATCTTGTTATGCTATGCTCAGCTGATATCCCTAGGAGGCCTGCTGTTTTCTGAATTAAAATGGAGGAGCAATGGATTGTGAGAGAGTGGAAGTCTGTGGGGGGACATGGAAACAGTGGAGGGAGGGAAGGCTGTGGTTGGGATATATTTATTGTATGAGCAAAGAATAAATTAAAAGAAAAGAAACCTAATAGAAGCCACAAAGAAATTAACTTAAAGTCTTTAGGAGGGATATTTGATTTAAATTCCTGTGTCCTCTCTATAATATGTAAATAGAATAAAGTTATTAAATGAATAAATAGAAAATGAACACAATTATGAACTTTTATCTTTCTCTTGAAGAAAAATTAATAGCTATTATTAAATTTTCCTCAGGGATTTCCTGCCATCATACTTGATTCTTGCAATAATATTAAAACCTGGAGACATACCTCTTAATCTGCTATCTAATGATAAAACATTTTAAAACCAACATCATTTATTTGCTGTCCATTTTGTTGTAATTTAACATGACTGATCAGTTAAACTATAAGAAATGTGTGGGCTTGAGATATAGGTCGGTGATTAAGATCATCACTGTACGTGTAGAGGACTTGCGTTCAGTCCTCAGCACCATTAAGCAGCTCCAGCCTTTAAGGAGCCAGTGCCCTCTTTGGCCTCATGGGTATACTACACATGTGCACATATGCACACACACATAAATAAATAAATATTAAAATGAAATGTGTCATTGTTATTTTGTCCTTTTTTCAGAGCTGAGGACTGAACCCAGGGCCTTGTGCTTGCAAGGCAAGTGCTCTACCACTGAGCTAAATCCCCACTCACTAAAAATGAAATATACTTTATGTCACTATAGTGCTGTTAAAATTATTTATTCATACCCGTAGCATTATTATTGCAGTATAATTTTCATAGAAACGCAGACTATCTATATTCGTTTCCTGACTAATATTTCATGAAAGGAATGAAGAGTAGACAAAACGTTGCAGAAGAGAAAAGCAAAAGAGTTGACTTGGTTCCTTAGTTCTGCTACCACAAATTAGAATGAGTGGTGTGTACACAGAAGAAACCCAAGATCAAGTGGTCACTAGTTTCAATACCTGGTGAAGGTTTTCTTCACTAAAATTCACATGGCAAGCATGGTAACTTTCTGGGATTTTTTTCCACAAGGGAAAAGATGCAATTCTAGAAGGGATAACCATCATATTGGTGAGTTATCATCATACTGGTGGCTGGGTTCTCAGTAGATGAACTTGAGAGAGGTAATAAACATCCAGACTCTAATAAAGTAAGGAGCCCAATTTGAAGGTAACACTGATTTATTGATCTGACAAGTGTGGAACATACCAAATACTAAAAGTTGAGCAACCTTACAAGAGCAAATAGTGGACAACTACCACACTTTGTGATTTTATTTCTGTTACCAGGGATCCCAACCTCTCATTTTACATATGAGGTAACTAAAATGTAGAGAAATTGAGTCAGGGCCAGAAATCAGAAACCTGCATGTTTAGTTTCAAAGTTTCTCTAAATATAAAGTCATTGCCTTGGTATTTTATTTTATTTACATTTTTTACATTTCATACACATGTGTTGCTTATTGTGTGCGTGCATGTGCATATACACATTTTATGACCTACACAGAAGTCAGAATATAACTTGCAAGAGTGGCTTATCGCCTTCCATCAAGTGGATCTCAAAGGAAGAACCCAAGTCTTCAAGCTTGTAGCATCAGGTACCTACTCACTAAACCATTTAACTAACCCAATATACTAATGATTTTAAAAGTACATATTAATCCCCTCTGTCATTGTAAGATGGCAAAAAATACGAAGTTTCCTTAAAATGTTCAGTCTTGCCTAAGTTCTGATTTGGACATTTTGTCTGAAGGTATTATAGTTTGGATTTGAAGCATTGTCCTCTGCCCAAAAAATCATACATCAAGGGTTTGGCAGCAACGGGGTGTCACTATTTGGATGTGATTGTGATTATAGGTGAAGGTGTCAAGTTCACCGATGAACTATCAGGAGGTGGAGGCTGCTTAAAGGAAGTAGCTCACTAGAGGTTTCTTTAATGGGTATAAA